GTACCTGCTCATGCCGTGGAAGACGAGGACGAGCGGCACCCTCTCCTTGTTGGCCGGGTCTTCGAGCATGAGCTGGACGGCCTCGGGTACGTGGAGCAGGTAGCGACGCGGCCGGATGCTGGAGGTGAACCCGCTGTCCACGGGCGACACACCGTCCATGGTCTCGTCCACCACGAAGCCCCGGTCGAACGTGTTGGCATCCAGGCGGAACAGGGGCGGCAGCAATTGGTCGACCTCGGCAGGGACGAACCCGATGCGCTGGGGGGGACCCGGCTTTCGGTCAGGCCGTCGCGGTGGTGGACGCGGTAGCGTCCCCATCTGCCCTTGGGGAGGTGGGAACTGTTGGTGTTGCTGTCGAGGCGGCGCGTGTGGATTCGCTTCCCTCTTCTTCTCCTCCTCTTGGGGAGGTGGGATCTGCTTCTGTTGCTGTTGCTGTTGAGGGCGCTGCTGTGGGGCTTGCGGTGGCCCCTGCAGGGGCTGGTCGCGAAGGACGTAGAGGCCCACAACGAACACCGCCAGAAGGAGGAGCCCTATGCTCCGTGGGGAATACCCCTCCCCTCTTCCTCGCCCGCCCAGTCTGGGCGAACGACCATCGTCTCCATCCAAGCAGGTCATCCTCCGTGCCCAGAAGCTTTTCTTTTCTTTTCTCGAAAGATTTCTTCACGTTATTCCTGAGTAGAGCAACGGCGAAGCCAACTGCGCAACGAAGCAGAAGCAGAAGCAGAAGAAGACGGCAAGGAAAGAGAACCGCGCGGCAGCATATCCAAATCCGACCTCTGGCCGATAGATCGACACCACCAGTTCTAGAATCAGCCAATTGATTTTGATTAAACATCAGCATCGCGACATTTGGAATGGAGAGCGAGTATCAAATGAGCGACGAGGCCATCTCGCTCGCAACCGATAATGGCACGACAGAGGCAGGCGCGGCTGCATCTGATGGAGACCCGGCCCTGGACTCGAAACTGCTGGAGGAGATCTCGCAACGGTTCCATCGGCTGTGGAAGCTCGAGAAGGACTTCGAGCAGCTCACGCGCGACCACCACTCCCTCGCCGCCGCCAAGAAGCTCGTCGAGCACGAGCGCCAGGAGTGGGTCGACAAGTCCGGGCAGCTGCAGGCGGCGCTGACCAGGGAGCAGGAGGAGCGGGCCGCGTGGGAGGCCCGGCACGCCGAGGAGCGCGCGGCCAAGGAGAGGGAGACCGAGGCCAAGGACGAATGGCGCGCCAGGTACGAAAGAGCGAAGAAGAACGAAGCGAAGAGCGGAGCG